ATATTTTGCATGCGAGTGTTTAGTGGAACAAATTATCCAATGGATATATATAAGCGCAAGATGCGCTCTGATGATGAAATTGAGAAACGAATTGACCTTGGTTCGGTTTTTATCAGTTAGAGTTAGACTGAAAGAACCAGTTACTNCAGTAGAGTTTGGACGAGAACAATAGACGCTAGACAGAGTTTATAGAGTAGTCCGGTGCAGGAACTAGACTAGTACGAGGTGTAAGTTTGTACGGGGAAAAAGACAGAAAGAAAACAACCAGGCCAGTAACGCTGAATATTTAGATCAAGTTGGCATTTAGTCCTTGGTTAGCTTAAAGCGGGTCAAGAGGACGGGAAGAAATGATAACAGGATCCTTTACTTACTACTAACTGTAACGTCGCTTAACTCATATGCGTACTGGACCTGATTCGTAGAGGAGGTCAGAGGGTAGTTGCGTATTAAGTAAGGCGGCAGCAGTTTCACAGGTAAGGAATTTGTCTACAGACTGAGAAAAAGCATGTTGATGCGTGATGCTTCGCACTGCTCAGGAAGGCTGTTCCAGATGCGAGCGTAATAAACTAGAAAGAAGTAGTGGCGTAGGTTTGTGCGGGCTGGGGGACACACTAAGAGATTGCAGGAGTTTCGGAGTCTGTAGCGAGGTTGAGAGTTTGGCCTCTGTGAGTCTAGCCTCTGTTATACAGGCGTTCTTAAGCAGAAAACGGTGCAAGAGAGCTAGATTAAATTTTAACCGTCTAAGCCATAGTGGTTCAAGGCCTAGGATTTGACAGCGGGAGCGGTAAGGGAGGGGGTTTGACCGAGGAAAGAGTTTTTTCGTAAATGAGCGTTGGACGCTTTCCATTGCGAGGCTGCAACTTTGGGTGTAGAGGGAGGAGAACGTGGGACAGAATTCCACGATTGGTCGTACGCATAGCTTAAAGATTGCAACCATCGTGTCTGGAAGGTGGCAGGAGCGCAGTATTAAAAACTGAGCCTACCTGAAATAGCACCTGGTGGGAAAGGCTAAAAGTACAGGAGTATCTGAGGCCAAGATCTTTGATCTGTGTAGAATGAGTAATAGGATTTCCATTAATTGTGAAAGCATCAGCCGGGAGAGAGCAGCGGCAGGAAGTTATACAGGATTTTGTGGAGGAAAAGCTTAGGCCAGAGTCGTTTGACCAGCAAGTCAGTGAATCTAGATCTTGCTTAATCTGGTGAAAGGCAAGAGTTTTTGCAGAGGTGGAGAATGTGTACGCGATTTTTATATCGTCCGCGAAGAGGAAGGCCTTACTGCGGGATATGGATATGAAGACGTCATTGATGTATAGTAAGAAGAGGATGGGGCCTAGCACGCTTCCTTTGCACTACTGAACTCACTGGCGTGACTGCTTTGATGACCGAACATGGGAGGAAACACAAAACTCATGCATTTTTAGGGAAACGCGATGGACGATATTCCACACATAAATCTTTGTGCACTGGAACTGGCTTTTGATAGAAACAGACATAGCCAATTGTTTACCGAGCGCTGCTGGTTTTGACTGCTTACAGGGGCTGTTTTTTAAGCTTGCCACAGTTCTGAACGTCTTTCAGCCAGAATGACAAATTTGAAACCCTAAAACGTGACTAAACGGCTTTCCGTGAGCAAAATAACACAAATGGCAGAGGATTATTGAAGCGTTCTGATTGTTAGGTACAGAATAAGAGGCCACGCCGTTTATTGCAAAACATTTTTGCGTGTAAATCAAAAACTTTTACCTAGGTTAGCTAGCCTTAACTGCGTCCACAAACTAAGGGAACATTACAAGCAATAATGGCCCTTAGTTATGCAGCGATCAAACATAAGTGAAATACTGTGTCGCACGCTGCAAATGTGGAATTGAAAAAGCATTGAAAATTAGTCCTCCTGGAACGAAAAACCAATATTGCTTTATAGAATGAAATGATCGAGAGCGCCAAAGAGGAAGCTTGAGGCGTTCGTTCGTAAATGTGGCTGCTACTGCGGCAGGTGAGAATTTTGACATATCTACTGCTAGTGACAAAATTTTCTCAACTTCTTTTGTTGAAGTCATCATGGCAGAACACCTACCCCATGTTACGCTTAAAAAAGCAGACCAACAGGTGTGTCCACCATCAGACGGGATATCACGGGGGGCCGTAGAAGCTGCTTAGAGGAACAAAAGGAGACTTCCGCGGTCCTCAAAAAAGGCAACAGCAGTTACGCTGTATGGCACAAAAATAACGGTGTTTTAAGTGTTCGGATATAGCACACAGTTTAAGGGACGCTTCAAAAAACGGAAGACAGATGGATGGAACCAATCTAGCTCGAAGAACTGAGTGTATTTGGTGGGGATACAGGCAGGTGACACTGTCAAAACGTAGTTTCGCCTAAGAAGCTGAATGGGATCAATTATTAGTTCTTCCAAATCGTAGTCAAGTTGATTGCCAATCACCAGACATCACCTCAATTTAGGTATGGCCGAAGTAAAGCTGGGCACACAGGATAGCACCACATTAGAACCTCAGGTCTATTGTAACTTTTCAACCAACTCCCAAATAAAGCGCATTCTTCTAGCGATGTTCTAAGAATAAAACAAAAATGGATTGGTGAACACGATTTTGACAATATCTTTTAGGGCCTGCCGGAACAAGAAATATCTGTACTCACCAACGCTCTGAGAGATTATGGGTTCCCCGGTAAATGACCTGAAAAGATCTGGCAAAAAACATGTTGGTCAGCCTGTCTTTGTTAATATTCTAAATGGGATATTTTGGAGGTTTTTGTGACTTGGTGTTGCAAATAGCATGCATAAAGAACTGAACGGGAGCCGACATCCTGGAATTCAAACGTTGGGTGACTTGTGCACCGTCAGAAAACTTATTGGGTAAAGCCTCAGCGGGGTGCTTCTGTGCTAGAATTGTGTCAATGATATTCTGACTGAAGGGTGAAGGTAGCTTGATTTTTCTGACCCGGTCATCAAGAGAATTTTGCTTCCGCACCAGGAGAAAGATGGTTGAGAAGAAACGGTGGCACAATCTGGTTGTGATTACCCGCCCCCCTTCACGTTCACATCCTGCTGGTGTATTATTGTCACATTGAGTTTTATTGTTGACCGCGCGCAGCGCCTCACGGCCTGTTGCACAAGATCTATCATGGTGCAGAATCGGGTCATAGTATCTCATGCAATAACGATGTTTGATTGCTCGTGATGGGTGACAAGGTGCGTATTGGTGAACTAGTTTTTCCAGAAGTCAGAACAGCCGGTCTGTGGTTCTAAAAATCTGCAACAGTCCTTCATTAGGTCAGCCGTTAGGTTAATGTCAAATGACATTGGTCTATCAAAAAACTGCTGTGCGAACATCATGCTGTGTTACGCGGATAATGCTGCGATGAGGCTAGAGTGAAGCTGAATACCGAAGTCCGGCATCTTCAGATTTGTAAGGATTTCAGCACGGTTATTCGAGGGAGGTCGCTACGGAAACTCGGATATTTGACGCCAGTAGATCGGTTATTTGATAGTTGAAGAATTTTCGATTGAAATCGGCTTTATCATTTGAATAGAGGCGTAAAATGAGATTGCGCCAGTCATCACCGGCTTTCCACGTGGACCCAAATTCAATTTTGTGAGACACACGTTAGGCGGAGGCAAGTGATGTCGCGGGAAATCAGGTAGGGTAACTTGCAGTGTGAGTCACCAGTCGGCATTTTTTAGGCTACGAAGCTAGGACAGCCGTTTTGGAGTATCCATAAATTAGTTATCTTGGGTGCGCTATGTAATAATAAAAGTTCAC